TAGCATTAACTAATAACAAAAGTATTAAATAAAATGGGTCATACTCAAAAAAACAAATAAAAGAAGGCTAAGAAGAGAAAGTATAGCGTGTCAACAAATCCAAGAAGGCTGCTATTTCTCCTAAAGTACACAATCAATGAGCTTCTAATAAACCAGCTGGCAACCATCAGAAATATTCTGAATTACATTCAGTTTCCAAAATCTCCTAGGTAGAAAAAATAATTATTTTTTTATATATAAATATATTGTAAAACAATGATAAAATGGTCTATTTTATGCATTTTTTTTTTTTTTAATATTTTATCTAATATCTCCCCCCCCCCTACCTGCAAAAACTTATGTAAGAACAAAAAAAAACTATAATGAAAAACACTTGTCTGTTTTTATTTTAGATCAATAAGATTTCAATCTACAAAGTTAAGAGTAGGCTGCCCTCAGAACCATGAGACCAGGGATTTGCAAAGATTTGCAAAGTTTCTGCAACAAAGATGTGTTGCCATCGCTGTAATAGATGCTTGGAAGAAAGCTGGGTTTCAAGATTTTATCATGAATTCAGTGTCGAGGATAAGATACTGAAGCTCCATAATAAGTACATATATCTGCATTATCTCAAATTATTGAATTGGAACTCTAGCAATGACAACTTCTCTAAGATACAGAATAAGTTTTTAGAGGAGACTAATAGACTCTTTGATATTACATTGGCAAATTTTGAACAAAAAAAAAATTAGGATTGTTTTCGTTCTGAGAATGCCAAAAAGGAGGATATTAAGTTCTATCTAGATAAAAAAGGAGAGCGAAAGATTTATATTACAGAAGAACACAATTAATGCAGTAAAATATAATGAACTTAAGGCTTCTTTTTAATCATCTGGAATTGATTCTGAATTGGAACTTAGTTTAGATTCTTCAGATGATGAAAATTTACCTAATAGATACCGTGGTTCTACTGAATCTAAGATAATGATAAGTATAAGTTAGCCTGGTAGACTGTATGGCTGCAGTTTCAGCTTGATACAAAGTAAATATATACAGAGTAAATATATGCCCACAAACCTCATTAGGAGCTGCAATTTGCGATAAAGCTGGTGTAAATCTAGAAGCTATTAGTCCATAAAGAAGTACAGTCCATAGAAAAAGATTCAAGAAGATTGAGATATTAGGAGATAAGCTCAGGCAAGAAGTTATAATTACTCTAGAGGGAAAAAAGCTATTTGTTCATTTTAATGGAAAAAAGATAAAACAGATTGAAGAAGATTTAAAAATAACTCTTTCTGTAGAATAAATAACAGGTCAGTGTTACATCCCCTGATATGGATAGCATAGATGGCGTATTGCCATTTGTGCCATCCATATCAGGTGTCGTTCAGACACCAAGTTCTAAAGGTTGTAACCAGGCTAAAGCACTTTTGATACTGCTAGAATACTATTACATATTAGATCAAAGATTTGTTGTTTGGTGTGACACTACTGCATCCAATACTGAAATACACTCTGGAGCTGTTGTTATCATTATCTCCATTCTTAATATTCCACTTATATGGTTTCTCTGTAGAAGACATATCTCACACTTTATGGAGGCTTTGACTGGAGAAAAAACAAAGGGCCATCCTATGAAGCTACAGGTACAGTATATTAAAAAAATATGTAAGTGTATTAAATAAAATATAAAAAAGTATATATAATAAATAAACATTAATGGTGACAAAACTTGTTCTTACTCTTTAGGTTTACAGCCTGTGAATAACCGATAATATCACCATTATTATATATACTTAGCCTGTGAATAACCGATAAGATCACCATTATTATACATACTTAGCCTGTGAATAACCGATAAGATCACCATTATTATACATACTTAGCCTGTGAATAACCGATAAGATCACCATTATTATACATGCTTAGCCTGTGAATAACCAATAAGATCACCATTATTATACATACTTAGCCTGTGAATAACCGATAAGATCACCATTATTATACATACTTAGCCTGTGAATAACCGATAAGATCACTATTATTATACATACTTAGCCTGTGAATAACCGATAAGATCACTATTATTATACATACTTAGCCTGTGAATAACCAATAAAATCACCATTATTATGAGCAAAGTAGAAAAAAAGATGATAGAGACAGCACTCTTTTTCACATCTGTCTGGTATGCACCTTGGTTTTTAAAGTTGTATTTGGTTGCAAATTCACCCTCAAATGATCTTGCCGCTTTTAAGAATGCTTTTTTGTATCAAAGAAAAATATCCCAATCTTAGTTCAGCATTGGTTGCTAGGTTGAAAAGACATATCTGTTACTTGACTGAGCAGTTAGTGCTGCTATATCTGGCTGAAGATATAGAGCAGGAAGTGAAAAAAGATAAAGTTCAATATGTAGTTTCTGATTAGTTCAAGATTCGAAAACCTAAGGTACCAATCATATCGGAGTCCACTGAGCTTTGGGAAGTGGTAGGTCCAGAAAGTTGAATTCTGTTAAAAATTGCAGAAGTCCCTGATGGTGAAGTAGAGCTGTTAAGGAAGGAAACAGCCTCAAAGTCATCAGATTTATACAAAAAAAAAATTTATAAATTTGACTTGTGTCAACAATTGTGCAGAAACAAAAACATACGCTTTATTTAGGATTTAGTAGGTGTATATAAATCTGAGAATGTGCAATAAAATTTAATGCTGGTGGCCAGGGAATAGGCCAGGAACAATAGAAAGAAGCTTAAAAAAGATCTTTCCAAGTCCCAGTTAAAAAGTATATAATTTATTATTCTTGAAATACATATTTTTTGACACATTTGTGTATTTTTATTAGGAAAATGTGTAAAATTCGACAGTGTTTTTTTATATATATTTGCAATCAGGGGACACTAGAGAATGGGAAAAAATTGCCTGCACATAAAATTTTTTTTAAGTTTACATTTAGGACATCCTACTATTTACTACTACCCTAAAGGTGACTCAGGTTCTTTTCATGATTTTCTTCATGACTGTCCTTAGACTGATGTCTTTTCTCTCTCCACTGATAAATGTGCCTCCTACATAACCTCTTGGATCCAGGCAGCTATGGAAACTTTTATTCCTTCTTGTTGGTTAAAGTCAAACCTGATTTTACTCCGTGATTTCTACCTTTTGCAGCTGCTTTATCTGAATGTAATTATCTTTTTCAAGAGAATAACTCTTGAGAACAAATCTATTACAATCTCTTGAGAACAAATCTTTTAATTTTAATTTTAATTCACCTCCTCAAGGCCGAGAAGGCCACTACAGACGAGGAGGCTACGTATCTGTGGTTATAACCCTCTCTCAACTCTATAACTCCGAAACACGAACCTTGACGAGCAAGGCCGCTGCGCGGAGAAACGAGTTGATCTATTACATGAAATCAATGTAAAAAGGTGCTATCTGATGCTAAACTTTATTATTATCAGTTTACCAAATCTCGTATCTTATCTCAGAAGTTAGGCTCTAGAGACATTTGAAAAATCTTTAACGATGTTATTAACAAAAGTAAGTCTAACATTCCATTTCTAATTCATGGGACTGATCTTATTACCTCTTTCAAGGATAAGGCAGAACTATTTGCAAAGAACTGTTCTTCTAATTTAATTTTGATTCCAGTTAAACAGGTTAGCCCATCGTTAGACATTTAAGTAGCTCCAGCTTCTGTTGCTAAAGTATCGTTGCATGATTGAACTCTTCTATGGCTTGTGGTCCAGACAAAATTGCTATCATAGTCTCACAAAATTGTTCTGCAGAACTCTCTTCAATCCTGTTATATACTCAAACTATTTAATAATTGCTTGAATGAATCTTGATTTTCTGCATGCTGGAAAATGGCTTCAAATGGTTAAAATTTTCAAAAACTCTGGAGAACATTCTGACCCCTCTAACTATTGTCTGATCTCTATTATTAGCAAGGTCTTTGAGTTTTTGATCAACAAGTTTCTCATATCCTGTATTGAGTCAAATAACTTACGGTTAGACAATCAATAAGATTTTCGGTCCTCTTGCTCTACGGCTGACAATCTTGAATCTGATCTTGCTTCTGTAACAGATTGAGGCTTGCAATGGCTTATGAATTTTAACTCCGACAACTTATTTATTTACTGCAAACATCTGTTAAAATACTGTTAACATTTCTATATTAATGAATGGCAACCTTTTTTTTTTTTTCACTATTTTCTCTCTCTCTGGATTCCTTACCTCTACAAATTGCTGCACATGAGTTGTCTCAGCTATTGTTTTGTGTAGTGAGTTTTTTTCCTGCACTTCAACCCTTTGAAATCCCTTCTTATCTTAATGCTCATACAACCTTCAAATTGCATACAAATAGTATGTTGCACATGAGTTGTGTCTCTGCTATTGTGTTGCAAGCTTATTGTTAAGATTTTAGAATTTTTAACAAGAACAAAGTAAATATCATTTATCATTTAAGGTGCCAAGTCATGCATGTAGTAGTATTATGTTTGATTCAAGTTAATTTTAATGCTTTTCAGTTTTGATTATTATTATTTATAATCAAATAGATTAAATCTTTTGTCAATTTTTTTACCATTACCCAAACTTCAAAGCTGAAGAAGCATTAGGAATAAAAACGAAGAAGAAATTCAGCTCTTCCTTACTTTTCTTTAGGTGGTCTAGATCATTCTTCAACCTCACTCAAAGTATTAGATTAATTTTCTACATCAGGTTTTTCTAATCTAAGGTTTTTCATAACACTAAAATGAAAAATGTGATTCTTTTTTAATTTTTTTGGATTCAAGCATAGATACTTATTTTTTCTTGTTGATTTTAATAAAGCTTCTCTTTTCTGATTCTGTTTCTCTTTTTTGATTGCTAATTATGTCAAAAAAATTATCAAAGCTCTTATTAACCAATGATTGTTTGATTCTTTCATTAAACAATGATTATTTGATTCTTTTTTAACCAATGATTATTTGATTCTTTTTTAACCAATGATTGTTTGATTCTTTTTTAACCAATGATTATTTGATTCTTTTTTAACGAATTGATTTTTTGATTGTTTTTTAACCAATGATTATTTGATTCTTATTTAACCAATGATTGTTTGATTCTTTTTTAACCAATGATTATTTAATTCTTTTTTAACTGATGATTATTTTATTCTTTCTTTACTGCCTGCTGGAAAGCATGGAATGACATCTATTGTATGTCTTAAAAAAAGATTTAAAGTTACTTTTCTTTTTTACTTTTTTCTTTGCATTTGTAGTATTAAAGGTATGATTGACGGGCTGTCCGTAATTACTAATTTTAACTTTTAGCCATTTCTCTTCTCTAGTGTTAAAGTGACCGTTAGCACATTACATTATTGTGTGTGGAAAATGATGTGTGGAAGAGATCTTAAATGTTATTGAAAAATCTTTTAAAAAATTAGTTATGAAAGCTAATATATATAAAGTTAACATTCATGGTATAAAGTTAACATTCATGACATAAATTTAACATTTATGACATAAAGTTAACATTCACTACATAAAGTTAACATTCATAACAAAGATTACTAATCACTCCAAAAGTTAACATTCACTACATAAAGTTAACATTCACTACATAAAGACGAACATTTACTTGACAAACAGGTTTACAAAATCTTGTTTATAAAATAGCCTTAATTTTATTTAAAAAAAAATTAGTTTAATATGCTCTTATTAAATACTATCCAGGAAACTAGTTTCTTGACTTTTCTGGATAGAAACACTACTACTAGGAAACACTACTAGAAAAAAATTGTATACAGAAAACTGTTTTATTTGGGAGATTCACGACTGTTTTATTTGGGAGATTTTTTGATTCATGAGCTCAGGGCAAAAAAAATTGAAATTGGAAACTTAAAAAAATTTTATTGAATTTTTCGTAATATTAAAAAAGTTTTATTTGAAGTATTTCCTAATATTTTTCGAAATTTTGAAACCTTACAAAAACAAATTATATGCTTAAGAAATCAATGTTGTTTACTTTTTAATCCTTGTTCAGATATATCTGCATTTATTCTGAATGTATAACTCTAATCAAATGTTTTAGTTATTTTTAAAGATACTGATTAAAACAACTTCTTTTTTTAATGCTATTCCAACCGTTTCTTAACTCTACACACACAGAAACACAGATCTAAATAACCAACTCTACACACACAGAAACACAGATCTAAATAAACAACTCTACACACACTGTACTACCAGCGATGGGGTTTCCTCTCAACTCTCACTTTAAATCTCTTGTTTATAAGGTTTATTTATAAGCACTCTAAAGCAACACCTGTGCATTATAACTCTTATGTACCTGTACCTGTACTGCATTTAATTAGCTAAATAGTCTGTTTTTTTATTTTGTATATATTACATTTGTAGGAGACAACAATCCACGAGTTTCAAATAAAGAAAATTTTCCAGATCCTGACAAAGTATGTAACAATTTATATATTTGTTTAGTAAAATCTTTTTTACTCGATAATTTATTATTTATTTACTAGAACCTTTGTTGTAATTTTTTTTTTTAAATGTCTTTACTTTAAATTTGTTTAAATATTAGTTTTTTAAATGTCTTTACTTTAAATTTGTTTAAATATTAGTGATTAAAAGTTATGTAAGTTTATATTTATTAACCGTATTATAATTTATAATATTTAAATATTGATTTCATTCATCTGCATTTCTCTTAACATAATTCTGTATCAGGCTGCTAGTAAGTTTTTAGGGTATAATAAAAAAATATTTTTCGATATTTTTTAAATTTTTTATTGTTTCTAATAGCTTGACAAACCGTTTGATCCATCAGATATAAGACGACGCCCATCTAATGTCAATGGATTTGATCCAACAGATGATAATCCTATTTCCTCAAATACTACTGGGTTACCCAATAACCCTGGATCATTTAGTAATCCAAGGAGGAAGCTTCCGGTTAATCCAGAGCTTAGAGATTTCAATCCAAGGACGAACATTGATGAGTATAATACTATAAACAGAACGAAACGTGAGTTTAATGCTGCAAATAGTATTAGTTTTAATGAGAGACAAAGCAAAGATAGAAGTAATAGTATATACAGACAAAATGAAAATACTAACAATCCAAACTATATACAAAATACGCGAGTAGATTACCTAGAAAATAAAAATTTAAGTAACAGCTACAGGCAAAATACTCAAATAAATAATGAATGGTATAATAGAAAATTAGCGAGTGATGATATGTTAGAAAGACACAAAGATGTCTTAACAAAAAGTAACGAACATGTAAAGCATCGAATAGCAACAATTCGTGCTCCAATGTTGTTGCCTGTTCCATACAGTTCAAGGCGTAGAACATATCGTTCTTCGTCCAGAGATCGTCGAGTGTCGCATTTAGAAAGTGATAGTGATCTTTCTGAAATAAATTATCGAGGTAATAAGCATTTTGAAACTACCATAATAGATAAGGACCCTTATGTGTATGCTGATGCAATAATGGAAATTCCTATAGATGCGAAAATAAAACGTAGAAGTCATTCAAGAAGACGGCGTACAAAGAGTGACACGGATCTAAATATTAGAAAAGAGCGTCGTAGTATAGTTGGAAGCTCTGACGAATTCGAACAAATTGTTGATCAAGTTCGTCAAAAGCTTAATAAACGATTTAGGGGTAGTGAGCCGGAGGTAATTTTCATTAAGGTTACAATTTCTTTTCATAGTATGTATGATGAAAAAATAAGTCATTAACTATTTTTTTTTTTTTTTTAATATTTTTTTATTTTAGTCATTATTATTTTTATATTTTTTATAGTTAATTTTGAGCCGGCGTAAGCACAAACACCATCGACAACGCGCAACGTCGTTAAGCCCACCACGAAGAGCATTAAATTCATCAAGGGATCGAATAAGAAAAGCAGATTTTACAGAATCGTATCCAGCAAATGTCATAAACAATGATCGAACAATCCAATTTATTAATGAGCAACATGATATTAAACAGGGTAAATATCGTTATCGTTTATCTGATAAAAAAAGACGCCGATTTGACTCTTATGATCGTATTTTTGACTTGAAAAATCGAGACAGAAAGTCAGATAGAAGGCATGGAAACAAAAGAGACGTGGATTTTGAATACATGAGTTGTGATAATGAATCGGAACTTTGAATTTTTTTTAGATTTTGTATTATTAAATCGGAATTTTGAATATTTTTTTTTTATGATTAAGAATTGGAACTTTGAATGTTTTTTACAAAAATTATTTAAATATTTTTAGCTATTTTTACCAGAATTTTTTGTGTATATAGTTTGAAATATATTATTTTAAAAAAACATTTAGTTATATTGAAAATTATATATGCTGTTTGTTTAACTTTAATATAGTAATATTAAAGTTGTTAAAAAAGTGGATTATTTCAATATTGCGTATATAAAATTTATAAACAACGTATAGTTTTTAACATCCTCCAAAAAACAAAAAAATAGTGACTCCGAAAAAGAGTTATTGCTATTAAAATAAAAAATTTTGAAAAATCATTCATGTCAAAACACTTTTTTTGAGTCGTCGAGTCAAACTACAAAAAATACTAAAATTTAAAATACCCATGGGCATTCATTGGAAAGCTTAATTACTTTCACAATGTGTCGAAATTGTTGAAAATCAAATAAATTTTATTTAAAATTTTTCTTTTGTGGTTTTTTTATTTTTTCTCAATTTTAATAATTTTGGAAATAAAACACAATTATTCGCATTTTCTAGCATTTCTGACCACTATGGAACCAATCCAAAGTAAATTGAGTTAAAGTGGTTCCTATGTAATTAAAAAAAATTTTTTTTTATTCATTAAGCATTAATTTTCTAGGTACAGAATGATTAAAAAAATAATCAAAACTAGGTACAGAATGATTAAAAATAGATATATTTTCGAACTTTGAAAATATATTGATGATCACATAGATAGTCAAAATAACCCTAAAAATAAAGTTTACTAGAAACACAATTACTCATGAGTAAAAGTTCATTTTACTTTCAAACTTGCCTGCGTGAGTTTGTTTTATAAAAAAATCTTGTTTTTACTAAAAGTTATGCTTCAAAACAACTGTATTTTTAAAAAATCTGCTACTAGGCCTCAGATTTTAGTTCCCTAACCACAACTTACAAGTAATAAATTTATTTGAAAAAAACACAGGCATTAGCAGTGCATTAGATGAATAAGTCCTGAAAGTATCAAGTAGTTATCATTATTAATTCAAAAGTTATGATGTTTTTTGTGATACAATTTTCTTGAAAAACGATATGGCAGAAAATCAAAAAACAAGAAAAAAAATTGTTTTTAAAACTAAAATATGTATAATATGTACAGATTTTCTACCACGACCACCAACACCTTTTCTTGATAACTTTCTTTTGTTATTTCAAAGGTTTGTTATATCTTTATTATTTTACTTGAATCTAACTAAAATATTAAATAATTTCAACAAATACATTAGAAAAGAGTAAAAAGTAAAAAAATTAGTATAAAAAAGCTTGACTGCTGTTTGCACTTTGCAACAGCATAACCTATAATTATTAAACACTTAACAACTTGGACGTACAAGGCAACATTAGAATAGCAAAAGAGATATACTTCTTTAAGTTAAGTACCTTTACTCGTTGAAGAACTTATTTCATTTAAAATTCAAAAAAATATTCCAACAATGCATTGTTTATTAAAAATATATATATATATATATATATATATATATATATATATATATATATATATATATATATATATATATATATATATATATATATCAATTTTCAAAATACTTCAGCCAACTCAAAAGAAAGTTATAAACCACATGTCAAGCCATTAATTTCGAAGACATTAAAATAATACTTTACCGCTGTTTACCGCTTTGTTCAACGTTTCCTTCGTGCAAAAATATAATCAAAAGCATTAAAATATAAAATAATGACAACATAAACAACAAAATAACGATTTTTTTTTTATACTGTATGATAACATTTAAAACTGTTAGAGAGATAAATTGTCGAGAAGACTAATTGTTATTTAAAATATAACATATAGAGAATTTTTAAACTTATAAAAAAAGTTTGCAGAAATTATTTTCTTAAGCACAATTTTTGGAAACAATTTATATAAACTTTATAACTAGTCGGGTTGAACATATCACAACTAGTAAAGTTAAACCACTATTAGTCTTTTACATCTAGTAAAGTTGAACACACTGCAACTGGTGGGGTCAGTTGCGGATGCACAGGGAGTAGTATGGAAAAGAATAAATTAAATTTCCCCGACTAAATTTGTTTGTTTTTCATGTAAAAACTTTGTTTTTCATGTAAAAACTTTGTTTTTCATGTAAAAACTTTGTTTTTCATTAAAAAAAAATAAAAAAACTCGAACATGTTTTTGTATTTCTTTTTGTAAATTTGTAGTTATTGTAACAAATATAAATACAACATTTGTTTAGCATCCCTACGGGCATTTGTATTTAAAAGTTACGCTCTAAATGTCTTTTAAACGTTTTTTAAACGTATTTTAAACGTTCTTTACGTTAGAATGTTTAGAATACGTTTAAAAGACATTTAGAACGTAACTTTTTAAAACAAATGCCCGTAGGGATGTTCTATCAAAAACAGATGTGTATTATATATATATATATATATATATATATATATATATATATATATATATATATATATATATATATATATATTCCAACATATATAACTTATGCTCTCCGTATTGTGCTGTTATTTTAACTTATGCTCTCCGTATTGTGCTGTTATTTTAACTTATGCTCTCCGTATTGTGCTGTTATTTTAACTTATGCTCTCCGTATTGTGCTGTTATTTTAACTTATGCTCTCCGTATTGTGCTGTTATTTTAACTTATGCTCTCCGTATTGTGCTGTTATTTTAACTTATGCTCTCCGTATTGTGCTGTTATTTACACTTACGATGTGGGTAAAAATAGTTATATTTGTTCACTTAACATCTGGCTACAACATCTGTTAAAATAATGTAAACAATAATCAACGGGTGACTTGCAAAAACATTTAATCTAATACATGTCAATGTTACCTACATGTCAAAGTAATCCGTTACCTTGAAGTTATTTTTACATGTGTTTTTTGTCCAAAAAAAACCGCGTTACCTTAACATTCTTAAAATGATCAGCTTATAGTATAAAAGGAAAATTATCGAAATGTTATTTGAATTTTTTAAATTCACATTAACAATTTTAGTTTTTTAAATAAATTTAATTACTTAAAAAAAAAATTAGGTTTTAAATTAGGGCGTTTGCCCCCCTGTTGTTACACACTCGCTCTACGTGAAATATGTTAACTCATAACACTATTAATTTTTCAAATTTGTTGTTGGTTAGTCTTCTGTGCAAACAAAAAAGTAGTCTACATTGCAAAAACTAAATGTTTATACTAGAGGTCAACAACCTTCGACTGTCAAGATGTCAAGATGGGGTTTTTTTTAGCTCCATGCATAAATAATAATATATTATTGAAATAAAAATGTTGGAAGCTCCTTCAAAACTGAAAATTTTTGTAAATTGTAACTTTAGGCTCTTCTTTTTTGAAAAGTTAATATAATTTGTTAAATGCATTTTTTGTTTTAACCATTGTATCACAACCAGTGGTTAGTTTTGTGGCTGTCCTCCTCAAGAAGTGGCTTCGATTGTATAGTTATATTTATAGAAAAGGCTGCAATAACCTAATGATAGGTTCTGAACAGATGCTTTATCTTTATTTCAGCCTTGATGGATTTTACTAATCATATTCTATTGGAGACAATATATTAAATGTTTAACTGTGTTTTATTAATTAGTTTTCCCACAAAATATGAAATGATGAATAAAAATGCAGGTTTTTTTTGTATGAATTGGCAGGATAATCATATAATAAAATATTTCCAATAGAATTCTGATTATGGCAAATTGACTGATAATATATCTATATATCTATAGTTAAATTGCAAAGTTATCTTGTTGGATTTTTACGCTGTTTCGATCTTTAATTTATTCTTTTGTGACGTCGATAAAGGTTTTTACATATCAAATCGTGAGAATAATTTGTGCTTTGGGTTTATTTTTTCTATAAGAATGTTTTTGTTTAGAAACATCTTATGGGTCCAAATTTTTAGTTGGAAAAAAACAACTAACCCTGTTAATAACCAGGTTTCCACTGTATTTCAATAACAAATAAATAAAAATAAAAGTATAAAAATTCTGTTTAAATTTTAAACATCGCTCTATTCATATCCTGGTACTTTCCATCTTAAAGATTGTCGTTGACTTGTGTATCTTTTGAGCATTTGATCCATAGTATCAACACAAGCTATATATTTGTTGTAATATTTGATAAAATCCGGTTTCTATATTGTATCGTTACTCACAGCCTTGTCTGAATGTTGATAGTAGAATAAAGTTTTATTTTTTTGTACGTAAGAACACAATAACACTTTTTCATAATAATCAAAAACTACTGAGTATAAAGATCGTGATTTATTTGCTGCCATAACACAAAGGGTGTATGGTTTATTTCTTATACTTGTTCCAACAATGGTATGATGACACGATAGCAAGTGTTTTGCATCAGAAAGAGTTATAAAGAAAAATTTTACATGCAAATATTTCATCCACTTCCTCGGTATAGAGTTGCTAATTATTTTACCACTCTCTTTTACTGGTTTCTTTCTCCAGTATTATTTGTTTTATCATTATACCCTGCAAAGAATATGCGTTTTAAGCATCGCAAATCCATTAAATTATATATATATATATATATATATATATATATATATATATATATATATATATATATATATATATATATATATATATATATATATATATATATATATATATATATATATATATATATATATATATATATATATATATATATATATATATATATATATATATATATATATATATATATATATATATATATATATATATATATATATATATATATATATATATATATATATATATATATATATATATATATATATATATATATATTAGGGTGTCCCTAAAAAAAAATTTTTGTGCGCTATTAAAAACTTGGCTCTTATATGTAAAAAAACGAAATATATAAAAAATATTGATTTGAGACAAGTGTAAGAGCATGGTGAAAAACTTGAAATTTTCAAAAAATGTCAATTTTTGTCATATTTTTTTAGTTTTTATTTTCTTATCTTGCAATACATTTACTTTTTGAAATCTTCAAGGT